AGACAGAACCAAGAGAATGTTGTACACAGTAACAGCCATGTTGTATGATGACTGACATTGATAGACTTAGCCCTTCTCAGTGGTGCAAGGATCTAAGACATCTCCAGAGGTCTCATGATGGAAAATGCTATCCACATCCAAAGAAGGAACTATGAAGTTTGAATGCAGATCGAAGCATACTATTTGCTATTTTTTTCTTCTGTTTTGTTTTGTTTTCTCTTTCTTGTGGTTCCTCCTATTGGTTCTAGTTCTTCCTTATAACATGATTAATGTGAAAATATGTTTAATAGAAATGTATATGTATAGTCTATATCAGATTGTACACCATCTTAGGGAGAGAGGCGGGGAGGTAAGGGCAGAAAAATTTAAAACTCAAAAGCTTATGGAAGTGATCGTTGATAAATCAAAATAAATTAGTAAAAAAAAGAAAAAGAAAAAAATGATTTATTGTTGTAGTGACTCGGTATATATGTAACAGAAGTTGGACAAACCTAAGTGATGTTGCTCATATATGGCATAATACAGGTGCCGCATGGACATAGATTTATATTTGTAGTAGAATTTTCTGGCAAATCACTTATTTTGTCTTCATAACATCACCCAACCAGAGATTGACTGGAAAATTCTAATTCATGTTGTATTTGAATATTGTTATAATAATAATAATAATAGTGATTATAGAATTAGAGTATAAAGTTTCTGTTTCTTGCTGTCAGACATGATTTTTGGTGTATGATACCTCACATCTTAAATGATGAACTAGTATACAGAATACTAAGAAGTGTGGGGTTGCCCTGTGTAGTACCTTTTACTTAGGGTAATCTCTGTTTTTATAATCTCATCAGTTTTATTGTTTTACCTATTATCTCTATGCTGGTGATTCCCAGATCTAGCTCTAGTCTATCTTCTGAGTTCTAGTTCCTTGTCACCAACTGACTGTTGTTTATTTCCAACTGTATTTCCCCTAGGAATCTCAAACTCTTCTTGTTCATTACAGAATTCTTTCCATTTCCCCCAAACCTTCCCCTCCTTCAAACTTATTTCTGTTAAGGATACCATCATCCTCCCACCCACTGATGATTTTAAACTTGGAGGCATCTGAACTCTTCTCTCTACCTCACCTGTCATGTTTAATCAGTTACTAACTCCTATTGATTCTGCAAGGGGAGAGGAGAAAGAAAAAATATGTTTCTCAGCCATTCTCTTTTTTCTGCTCGCATAGCTGCCAGTGTAATTCAGCTCGTCATCATCTTTCACTTAAACTATTGCATTGTCCTCCTAAGTGTTTTCCTTGCCTTCAGTCTCTACCCATTCTAATCCATCCTCCACACAGCTATAGAACTGATATTTCTTTTTAAATTTTTTAAATTTATTTTATTTTCTATTTATGGAGTAAAGCATTTACATGACATAGTATAATTAAAAAGATGATTACACATGAAACTGCAAATCTGTTATGTACAACTTGCTGTTCCTTTTAAATATATAATAAAATTATCATGTAAATTGTTTTTCCTTCCCCCCTCACTTGAGATGGCTACCATGAGGCACAAATATATGTGTGTATATATATTATATATGTAAAATCATTCTATATCTGTTTATCAGTTCTTTCTCTGGATGCAGACAGTATCTTCCTTCATATGTCCTTTGTAGTTAATTTGGGTGTTTATAATAGTCACAGTGACTTATTGGTCAAAGTTGTTATTAAAACAATATTGCTGTTACTGTATGCAACATCCTCTTGATTCTGCTCGTTTCACTCTTCATTATTTTGTGCATGTCTATCTATGCTTTTTCTTAGATCATCGAGCTCATCATTTCTTACAGCACGGTAGTATTCCATCATGATCATATATCACAACATGTTCAGCCATTCCCCAGTTGATGGACATCCCCACAATTTCTAGTTCTTTGCCACCACCATGAGAGCTACTAAAAATGCTTTAGAACATATAGATCCTTTTCCTTTTTCCCTAATCATCTTTGGAAATAAACAGAAGGTCAAAATGGGTACATGATATAAATTAGAGATTACAAGAAAATTTGAAGAACATGGTTCATATTACTAAACAAGTTGATATTTCTAAAGTACACATCTGAATGCTTTTCTTTGGCTTTTCAAGCCTATTACACTCTGACACTCTCTTCTCAGGCTTATTACATGTTACTGTCTTTCAGATACTCTTCTGTTCTCATCAAATGGGCCTGCTTGCTCTTCTCATGCACATCATTCCATCACCTATCTCTGTGTCTTTTCACAGGTTGCTTCATCACTAGAATGCATTGTCACCTCACTTTGTAGAATTTCTAGCTTCCTTTAATACTCAATTCAAATGTCACCTCCTATCAGAGACCTTTTCATATCTTTCCCACTTGTTAGCGCCCCCTCTCCCTTCAAAAATTATTTGCTATTTATGTTCTGTATATTTTATGTTTGGGTATCACTGTACATATTATCTTCCTTTTGCTTTCCCTGGAGAAGATAGATCCTTAAGGGCAGGCAGTTTTTTTACTTCTTTGTAGCCAAGTACTCAGAATTATACCTAATATGAAGTAGCCTCTTAACAAATGCTTGTTGAATAAATCAGCCAGCATTTATATGGCTTACTTAAAATTAACAAGAGAAATAAATTAGTTCAGTACATTAATAAATTCATCTATTAAAAATAGCTGCAAGAAGGATCTAAAGAGTCAGCATATGAAACTGTGGTGCTTCTTTTTAAATTTATAGTGTAATTGTTGTTGTTTTTCCTAAACATCATCAAAATCAGAAAATATATTGAAGTCTTAAATGTTTACTGTAATTGAAATAAGACTGCTTACAAGCTCTCTGTTCCTTTTTTTCTGCAGGACCTATTTTGATAACATAGTTGCAATAGATTCTCTACTTGAACACATAATGGTAGGTTGGTTCTTATTTTTAAAATGACGTTATTAAGTGTTAAGAATCTCAGTTTCTGATTCTATACTTATATAAACTCTATTAATATTATAATGAATTATGATATTTAATAAAAAGTAATTTGGATGTCACTGTCAGATTACTGATAATTTCTAATAAGGGCTTACTCTTTTGAATAAAATGTTTTCTTGAATATTTCAAACAAAGCTCACCTTTGCTTACGTAAAGACTGCTCTTGAAAGCCAGGGAGCTTTCTTTCTTTTTAATGCTGAATAATTTGATATTTCTAGCCTTGCTACTAAATAACTCGCTACCCCTTTCTCAAAAATATAATTGGAAGCACCAGGCATGTCAATTGATGCAAAAAATATGTTCAATCCTTTAATCTATTCTTAAATCTAGTCCTTCTAGTGTTGATCCCTTTACTACTTTGCTACAAGGCAGGTCCTGATAACGGAGGTTGTTGTATACTTTAATCTGAATCTATTTGATCATGGACCAATATTAAGTTACACTTTTCCTTCCTAGAAGCTAACTGACATTTCAAAAGAAGAGCCATGGACAGTGTTCCATAGTGGCATGTAGCATTTTTCACACCTTGTCACTTAACATACCTCAGCTTTCCACTGTGTTTCCCTCCTCAAAGCTTTCCCATTGTGCAAACTGTCAGCATCCTTCACTCCAAGACTATCAGCAATCATTCTTGCCCTTTCCTCAGAGACAGTCTCAGGGTTCTGGTGAGATGGCACAGTATCAGTTCATTACAATAATATTCAGGACTGCCATGCAGCATCTTTACAATAGAGTATTTTTCATGTATCCCTGAGCTACATGGACTTCAAAATCATGGCATGTTAGGCCAAATGCATAAGGTATTTTAGAATGTTGAAATTTTGAAAGCCTTCCTAACGTCGTGATAATGTGCTAAAGAGGTTGGAATTCAGTGTCAGACAAGAGCTTTAGAGCCTCTTAATTGGCACCATAGAGTTTTTGAAGGTACACATTGTAAGAGCTTTGGGTGTCATAGCAGAGAACCACTATTCCCTTAAAAAGAAAGCTTTCTTGGCAAAGTTTTTAAAGCTATGATTAATACTTTTTCTTTGCTCTTTAATATCCTGTTGCTTTATTGACAGTAACATATCCACATAACTACATTTTATTTCCAGTACGTGGAACATCATTCTGCTCAGCATAAGTGACAAACACACAGACCCACCAGACACACTTTCTTTTATCTCTTTTTGTAACACCTGCTTTTGGCATTCCACATATAGAGGCTATATAAAAAATAGAGCACTCTACTTATTGCCAAGCTTTTCTAGAGGGATATCTTATTTTTATTCCATTATAAAGTCATAAATTTTAAACTAAAGAAATGGATTATTAGTTTCTCTGAAGATAATATAACCTTTTTCTTGATTGCAGGTGTCCTTGTTAATATCATTTTGTAATGTACCATATTTTTATGTAAATGTCCTCAGGTTCTGTTGAGATGTATATGTCTATTTGATTCACCTAAAAAAAACTTTTGTTGCTTGATTGAGTCTGTTTTTTCTTCCCTCCTTTTTAACTGAAATGTCTTGCTATTTCCCTTATAGTTTGCCATCTTTCAAGCTTATTAAATCAGTAAGCTTTATTTCACAAAATATTTGAGTCCTCTGTCCTATAGATGTTTGCAGGATGTTCTTCCATAATATAATTAATGAGTTTTTTGATAGCCATTTCCCTCATAACCATCCCTCCTGCCCCTCTTTGGTTTTACAGTTGTATTCTGAGCGATGGAAGCCACACAGTATGACCTGTGGAAAAGGGAGATGTTGTTACAAATAACAATGCAATGAATCTTAGAATCACCAGAGTGTGCAGGAGCCATGTGATCTAATATATATATCTGAGCCCAGACAGCATAGTGTAGTAGAAATTTGTTCTTCTTAAATTAGTTATTATTAAATTTACTCCATCATTATAATTTTTGAGGATCTTTTTTTCTATCCTAATTCTTATATCCAATATGTTATTTTCCTCCCTGCCTTATATAAACATATTGCTACAATTTCATCTGAGGCATTCATAAAATTATGGAGCGTAACAGAATAAAATGAAATGAACAGTTTTCAAAAATGAAGGGAGCAAGTGTGCCCAAGCAATTCTCTCCCTTGATTCTAGTTGTCTCCCCTCTTCTTTGTGGTTCGTTCATGGATTAGGTATGAATTCCTGTATTCCCCTTATCTTGAATTCTTTCTGCCTCCCATTGAGGACACTTTAGTTAATTCTTATCCTTTATCTATGTAGATTTCTAAGAGTTTGGTGGCCACAGGTGTTCAAGATTTCCTATTCATTTTATTAAACAAAATATCAGTACCCTAATCTACTTGAAGGAAATAAAGAGAGGGAAGGAATAAAGAAGGGAATAAAGGAAAAAGGAAGAGATTTAGGGAGTGGGATGAAGTTAGTTTTTAACAATAATAATAATGATAATAATGATGATGATGATGATAAATGGCCAACATTTATGTAGTGCTAACTATATGCCAGGCTCTGTACTAATTGCTTTACAAATATTTCATTTGATCCTCACAATAATGCTAGGAGGTATGTTTTATTTTTATCCCAATTTTACAGATAAAGAAAATGAGGCAGTTAGATGTTAAGTGGTTTACTGAGGATTACATAGTTAATAATTGTCTGAGACTGCATTTGAACTCAGGTCTTAACTACAGGCCTGGCACTCTATCCACTGTACCACCTAGCTGCACAATAAAAGTTGTGTTAAGTCATAATATTAAATCATAATAGTTAAGTATTAATCATCGTTTAAGTGCTTTATGATCAAACTGCATTACTTCTCCTTTTTCTGATTTTCACAAGGTGATCTTTATTTAAACAGGGAGAGAGATTTCTCCAAGTATATAATTAAAACTGTTACAAATTAAAATTCCTTCTTCTAGTCCTAATGTTTTTAAAGAATTTCCCTAAGTTGTGATCTTTCTAAAAATAATTTTATAAAATATCAGTGAATATCTGGCCTTAAACCAAAATTTCATTTTGTTTTATTCCTGTCCGCCGTAGAAGTCCTAAAAATCATTCTTGCAGGGGTAGCTAGGTGGCTCAGTGGATAGAGCACCGGCCCTGGAGTCAGGAGGACCAGAGTTCAAATGCGACCTCAGACACATAAGGCTTACTAGCTGTGTGACTCTGAGCAAGTCACTTAAACCCAATTGCCTTAAAGAAAATCATTCTTGCCACTGTTTCTCTCAATGTGAGATCTCTTTCCTTTAAGCTGGGAAAATATTGTCATTTACATATATTCATATGTAAGGTAAGGATTCTCTCTCTGAAGAACTTTGGAATTGATTGCATGATGTGGGTTATGCTGACAAAGGACCACCCACCACGGCATGCCTGCATCAAAGAAGGCACTGTGTTCTGTAAGTGAAGCAGAATTGCAGTAGCTCAAAAGAAACATGAGATGTGCAAATTTAGAGAGATCTCCACTCCTAATATTCATATGGACTATTTGTGCCTAACCTGTGGTAGAGCATTCTAAGCTCTGATCAGCTACAGTCGGATGTACTGTTCCTTAACTCTAGCATAGTAATATCATTTTGATTCTTTTCTAGAATAAAAGAACAACCAGTCAACCAAGGATTCTGTAATACCAAGGATGAGCACTTTGGGGTAAATTGGGAGAGTAGTTGATTAAATCTTAGGATCTTAGGTTCTCCTTGCTATATTTTATCAGGGAAAATACTAAAACATATATCAGATCAGGATGATAAGGTCCATGCTTGATACACTAGGGGCTAAATTACTGAAATTTATAGACCATGAAGACAATTGCATTATTTTTCAGGGTCACAGGAGATTTATTCAGTTTAGTCAGATTAATGGAATTGCCTAACTATTTGGTTGATACTTTTGGTATTACTTGTGTTTCTGAACATTAATGGATGTTATCTAGGATTAAAAGTTATCTTGACAAGATTAGCAGAAGGCCAAGGCATTCAAAGGTGGAAGAACTGATGTTATTGAAATGATTGACAGGGTAGGGAGGGAAGTGAGGGTAGAATAGGAAAATAGGGAAGAATTCAAGACTTGAAGATCACAACAAGGGTGAAAAAGGACTGCCCCATTGGGTAGTTGAAAAATAAATGGTCATTAGAGTTGAGAAATTGAAGAAATGGTGACAACCAACTGTTAAGAATCAACAGCATAGGTACTGAAATCTCTGAGGATGTTTTGAGGAAGAATTTGAGAGGCTATAAATCAGGTGATGATAATTAAAGAAATTGTTTGGGAGGTCAGTATTAGTAGATGGCAAAGAATTGAGAGAGGACAAGAGTCAGATGTCATGAACTTCCAAGGAAAAGATATGACTGGGTAAGGGTTTGGAAGTAGCTGTGGGAGATAAGAAATATGTGTTTAAGGAGGAATAGGAAATAGATGAAAAAGAATTGAATTTTGTGAACAATAGTAATCCTGAGAAAGGACTGGATTCTAATTAAATGTTCCTCCTTCCTCCACCTTTTTTTAATCTGCTATTTAATTCAAACAAATGACTAGAAATGTAAAAGATCTGAGATTACTGGTCAGTTTAAGAAAAGTAATTATTTCTGTGTATGCTAAATATTTAATGTGCATTACTTTTGATAAGTTGTGGAAGCCACTTAGAAATCATAAGATCATGGATTAAGATTTAGAAAGGCACCTTAGAGAATCTGGTCATTCTCTTTATTTTCCAGATGAGGAGGTGAAGTGCAGAGAAGTTAAGCCCCTTGCTTTGCCTATGGTCATGCGGGTTGTTAATCGCGGAGCCCTGATTTGAACTAAAGTCTTATGACTCCAAATTGAAAACTTTTTCAATTGGTCCATGTTTCCCCTAGTTTCAGGGCAAAGGCTGGCCAGCACTTATTTAAATAATGCCTTGGGTTATGCACTTCATCACAGGTGTCCTACAAGAGGAGTTTAATGATGTCTAATCTTTGTTTTGTTGTTTTTCCTTAGATATATGCAAAAAACTTGGTGAATGCAGATCGTTGTGCACTTTTCCAGGTAGACCATAAGAACAAAGAATTATATTCAGACCTTTTTGACATTGGGGAAGAAAATGAAGGGAAGCCTGTCTTTAAGAAGACCAAAGAAATAAGGTATGCAATGAAGTAAAAAAGCAAATAGGCTCTGATTGCAGATGTTCCGGTATTGTGTTATCCGCTTTCTGTGCCTATTCACAGGTACGCTGACAATACTTGTCATACTGTGATATCATTCCCACCAGGACCCGCCTCCAGAAGGTAGTACTTCTGGGAATGACATTGCAGTGCCATCGAAACAGCCTCTCTGAAGCAATAACGTCACTCCTGGAAATGCCCTCTTCCGGAGGCGGTCCTTTTGGAAATCATGGTGGAAAAACTTACTAGTGTGCCAAGGTAGGTCCAGGTGCACCCTGTCTACTCTTGTGCATTTTCCATATAGAAGAGCATGGAGATGTTTGATAAGGGTGCACCAACACTGAGCTCAGCTCAGTGTCTCCTCAGCTGTCTCTCTAACACCAAAGAACCAAATACAGTGTGGCTCATGTGGTTTATTTGGGCATTAAGTTGACTAGTTCATATCACTGAACAGCCATTGCAGCCAGTCATGTCATACACATATATATATATATAATTTACACTTGAAATTAGAATAATCATCAATAACCTAACCTATAAATGGCCACTGTAGTAGGATTCTGCTTACAAAAATCATCTGGTACAACATTGCAGATCAATGGAATGTTTATTTGGCTGATGCAGACATACACTTTTCCTCCATTCAAGTTAGATCACATGTGGAACACTCTAGCATAACCCAGAAATTATAAATGATTCAATCTATACAACTCTTAATTTATTTTAATCTTTTCTTTTTCTCACGTTAACACAAAGTGCTGTGGTAATTACCAAATTCCAATGTACTTTTCCCTCCCAGTAAACTAGATTCCTCTTGGCAAACCTATGTCCCTGGAGCACAGTGAAAATTGGCTAGCTAACTTCCATACACTATAGGATTAGGAAACCAGAACTATGTACTTTCTCTTTTGACTTGCAAAGACAGGCCTATGTTCACTTGATCATGATCTTACAATTTAATCTTTTAGCCATTTCTAAAGAACAGTTCAGATATAGTGAGGAACTGCTAGGTGGTACACTGGGCTGGAGTCAAAAGACCTGATTTCTAAACCAGCCTCAGACATTTACTAGCTGTTTGACCCTGGGCAAGTCACTTAACTCTGTTTGCCTAAGTTTCCTCATGTGTAACATGAGCTGGAGAAGGAAATGGCAAACCACTCCAGTATCTTTGCCAAGAAAACTCC